GACACTATATATACACTATGAAAAAACATTTTTTTTAATTCATATTTTTATTCAGCTAAGATCATTAAATTGATCAAAATGAATTCTGTTCTTTTGAACTTTCTATTCATCAAAGAATCCTTAAAAAATGTATCACTGTTTCCACAAAAATATTAAGCAGCACAATTGTTTTCAACATTGATAATAATAAGAAATGTTTCTTGAGCAGCAAATTAGCATATTAGAATATTTTCCGAAGTGTCATGTCACACTGAAGACTGGAGTAATGGCTGCTGAAAATTCAGCTTTGCGATCACAAGAATAAATTAAAATAGAAGTTATTTTATATTGTAAATATGTTTTTCAATACACTTAAAAAACATATTATTACTGATTTCACTGTATTTTGACCACATAAATACAGCCTTGGTAAGCAGAAGAGATTTCTTCCAAAAACATAAAAAAAACTAAAAAAAAAAACTTAGTGACCACAGACTTTTTTTGGTCCATTCAATAGGGGTCCAGTGACTTTAAAAGTAAAGGAAGAAAGAAAGTCATGCAGGTTTGAAACATGATGTTGAGTAAATTATGACAGGATTTTAATTTGTGAATGAATCAGACCCATTCTTTAGAAAACAGCTGTGCCAGCTGTGAGACAGACTTCCTTCACGGGAGTCATCAGGGCATGTGCAGAGCCGTTCGGATCACCTCAGACTTTACTTTTCCCTATTCCAGCCCTTCTGTCCTCAGGAGACGTCTTAAATGCTTTGTCTTATAATTAGGCTTCAGGGATGTATTTGTTCTCAGAATTGAAGGGTTGCTCCCTAACTGCGCTGCTTAAACAAAATATTTCCTTTTCCGCCTGTGTGTCAAAATATGCATCTGCCATTTTCTGTCCATTGTCCTCAGCGGCAAGTATGTGCGTGCCTTTTTTTCTCCATGGCTTGTTTGTTTTTGTTACCTGCAACGGGATGTAACTGAATTATTGTATGTGGCAGAAGGTTTCAGAAAAGAGAGAGAGGGAGAAGTCAAAGTAGGTCCTTCAAGGTCAGTCCAAAGACAGCATGCAACATGCAAGGTCACATTCCAGACTAAAAGGAATAAGTGCTTTATTGATGGGAAAAAACACACATTGCAAGCAAGAAGATGTGCAACGAACTGATTAATAATACAACAGATTTGAGTGAGTGTGTGTGTACTTGTGTGCATGGCCTCTGCATTCATATTTTGCTTCTCCAAAAAAAAAAAACTTTAAAGTCAGGAAAAAAAAGAAAAACTCATGAGCATAATTGTTTTGTCCGGATGTGTATCTCTCACTAAAAAATTGATCCCTGCATGGGAATCTGAAAAATCCATTAGAGTCCATCAGACAAAAAAAGAGAATGATAGAGTGTGTATGAGTATGAGCAGTTTATAAAACCCCATCATAGTTTTGCCATTAATGCACATGTCAGCAGACATTTTATTTTCACCACAACTTCTTAATGCAACAACTTGCTTTTAGACATCAGATACCGCCGAAGTGCCACATTACGGTTACCGACTCCGAAGAGGAGTCAAGTGAACAGAGAGCAAAAAACAAATCATTTCCGCACCACTGGGACAAAACTCAATTAAATATGCATGCAGAAAATGGAAATTCGGAGCATCAGCACAGACCGTTGGAAAAAATACGGCAAATTCCATAGACGGGGTCGCAGACCTGCTTATTGTTATTCTTGTGTAATAAAATCGAAAGAGAGGCCAGATGCTGGAGAACGAGAGTGTGTGGAGAACCGGTCCGATGCTGACTTTTCCGCTCCCCTTCCCTCGGAGCGGTGGGGGACACAAACTCCTTCCTGCAAGCTGTAAATTAGCAAAATAAAAACAGAGGGGATTATTTCAGCATATGTGTGTGTCCGAGCTTTAGTAGGTGAGGAAATACCTGGGAACCTGGCTCCATCTTGTTGGAAACTGCATTGTAAATATGCAAAATAAAGCATCAAGGAAGGGGCAGGAACAGCTAACCGTTCTCATTTCTTGGTTTATTTGACAATTACCTCATTAAGTTGCATTTGCAGAAGCCCCTGACAGTCAGAGGTCCTAGATCCTCTACCTGGAACAAAACAAAAAAGGTAATTCATACACATTCCAGGTCAGTAAATCTGTCAAAAGGATTATAATATCAAAATAAAGCTTTTAAAAGTCAGGACAGAAAGAAACTGCTCTGACAGGAGGATCTTTAAATAATGAAAAATAATCCAATGCTGTCCAGGCCTGTTGCATTAATGAATGCTCCGTATTATCAGGGTTTTGTCCTTGCATTAGTCAACGTATTTTGAAAGTCTGTATGAAATCAGACAGGGCAGATCAGAGTGTTAGATCACCGCTAAGTCGCGGGATTCGGGTTTAGCCAAGTAAACAGAGTTTGTTTCTAAAACAATCGCTGCAGTGGATGCCAGGTGAGAAGGAGTCTGCATTTCCCAGCTTTAGCGTGCATATGCTTCCTGTCAGACCGAGAGCGAGCGAGAGAGAGAGAGACGGAGAGAGGGAAGAACAGGACACGCCAATCTAAGCAGTCATTAACAGCCACTTCCTCACTCTGGTGGGCTGATTGCAGTCAGCACACGTTCGTACAAATAATGCACTTCCAACGGCATTATTAGGATTTGAAACACCACTTGATTGGGCATGATATCATTCCGGCACATAAACAGAAGCTCCGCATTAAACGAGACACGCAGGGCCCGGAGAGCCACGTTCAAGGCAGCTTTTCTGTCATTCCCAGCGTCCTCCGCCTCACGCTTCTGAAAAGAAACAGGGCTTGTGGGGCCTTTGATGTGCGAGCAGATAAAAAGAAGAAGCTCTCTCACTCTTATTGTTGAATCTGTTTAGAATAGTTTCTTGACTTTTTCGCAAAGGTTTTCTCCTTATACAGTAAAAGCATTACGGCAATTCCAGCTCTGCACTATTTCCAGTAAAAATATTGTCAGCATTACAATAAACAGGACCTCTTAAAGAAAACAAGCTTTTGCTGTGATCATCCCCACCGTTCGTTTATTATTCAGCGCTGACAGGCGTCTTCGAGGGCCTGAAATAATAGCGTTTTGCCGAAACGCATCAAATCAGTGAGGTTTGCTGCTTGTTACACCTATTTTTCTTAACATGAGTGCCGGTCTCCAGAGTGGTGGGAGGGATCCCAGAGGAGAGGCTGTTCTTTTATCTGCGTCCCTACTGATTTTATCGCACTGCATGCTATCATGAACACAAACGACTTGGAGTAAACAGCGGTGTTACCATAGCGATCTCCATTGTTGGTCAGAGCTGAGGCATATCTATTGCCGGGCATGTATTTAATGCAGCAGCTACTAACTGGTTTACCGTGATCTTTTTTTTTTTTGAGCTCCGGAGAGAGTAAAAATGAGCACATCTGAGGCGTTTAGATGCATGCGGTGCAGCATAGAGCGTGCATAATTCCTCAGCTCATTGTTTCAGAGAGGAAGTGTTGAGTGTAAATACAGTAACTGAGAAAGCATGTGCCGGGGGCCACAGGGTGTACGGCACATGTAACGGGCTTACCTTGAGTCTCTTCAAAAGCTCATTATGCCAAAAAAAAGAAATTTAGATTTCAATTTTACACACTTTCCCATCAAAAACGATGTGATATTTTCTTGTTAAAGCATCCATTCAAACCAAACCAGCTTTTGTATTGACAGCTTCATGTGATGTTTAGAAATAGCTCATCTCAACGCAGCGTCTAACTACCAGCTAAAGCGTTCCACAGACCGTTATACATCCCGCAGGTTTCCCATTCTTTATTTACTGCATGATAAACATCTAACGGGCTCGATTTTAAGCCTGGAAAACCTATTAAAAGTGAACTTTGCTAAATCTTTGCATCAGATTTGTGGCGAAAGGGTGACTTAGCAGTGAGAGAATTCTGCCCTTAAAAAGGCATCTCTGGATATGGACGGACCCAGAACAGCTGCAGGGGGGAGTTGACACAGGGATAGATATTATAGATAGCACATTGTGGTGAAATAGCAAATGACCAGGCCCGTGCGGAATCTTCACATGCAGATTTCCGTAGAATTATTGGAACATTGAACCGTGGAAATTCATGCTGCTGTAAACTGGAAATGCTCTCGTTGTGCGGCAGGTAAAATGGAATGAGTCTATTTTGAACCGGAACCGTGTGCGAATGATCAGTTCCATTACACTCTCAACTGTCTATATTCAAGGGGGATGCACAGGAAGTGTGTACTGTATATCTGACTCTCAAACCACTGTTTTGATCTCTTAAATGTCTACTGAAATGAGAATAGCTGTTTATGTGGTAAAAAAAAAAAACTGTTGGTGTGGTGGTCTTCTGCACTTGTATGAGCAGGTTTAGGGGCTGATGGCGAATTTGAGTGACAGTTGTAGAGACTAAAGCAGGTTAAGCGTAGGGAGGTGAGGTGAGGGGATGGCAGCTACTTTTTTCTCTCTGTGTTTGTCTCTTTTATGCTTTCTGTCTCTTTCTTTCTGCTTCTAGATGTACTTTCTTATAGTCTTCCTTGCTCTCGTCCCTGCGCTGCCAAGAGTTAAGGCTCACATTGGCAGGATGCTGGGCCTCTTTAGGTGAAGGGAGTCTTCAGTCAGTGTTAGGCTGTTTCTATTCTGCTGTCATGTTCAGGATTAAATCTCACCGTAGTGGTGGCTTGGCACACTGTTGGGTGTCTGATTGAGATCTAGTTTGTAGGAAGAGATATTTCTCTCGTTCCCTTTCTCACCTTCTCTTAGGTGTGAATGACAACTTACAGACATGCATGTGATGTTTTCTTTATAATTCTCTATTGCTCTAGAAAAGGAGTGCCTGTGTGTATATAAGAGTAACAGCAAACAAAACAAAAACAGGTTTGTGTTTTTTTGCGAGAGGCATTGTGGTTAGCTTGAAGCAGTGAAGGATGGCGCAACCGTTATCAATAAGTAAACAACTTCCATAAATCTTGTTTTTAACCACTAAAATGTTCTTTCTTCTTTCTTTCTTTTTTCATCAACAGCTGAGAGGAGTTTATGCACTGAAAAGACCTCAGGAAAATCCACAATGGCCGCCAAAAGGAAAGGTGGCCTAAAACTGAATGCGATCTGTGCCAAGCTTAGCAAGCAGGTGGTGTACGACGGCAGTTCCCAGAATGCCGAGGGAGACTCAGATCTAGTGGACAACAGCGAGCGGGGCAGCTTGCACTACGATGAGGGCGACAGGCCTGAAAGCGACTTCCCAGAGGGCCTGACCCTGGGCCAGAGCCTTGAGGAGGACCAGAAACGGCGCGAGGCCATTGAGAAGTGGGTGAACGGCGAGTACGCCGACGATCCACAGTCCTTAGACGGGGGCGAGCACAGGGGACTCAAACCCAACAATGGAGACGATTGTCCCCCTGAAAGCGTTTATATGGTACAGCCCAAAGGCTGCAGCGATGAAGAAGACAACGCAGAAGAAGCCGACACCATGCCAGGCTCCCACGAGGGCAGTTATCATGAGGACAGGGACTCAGAGGGCAGCCCGCACAAGGATGACAGCTACCAGCCCACCACTGAAGCCCCCCCTCGCCAAGCCCCCTTCTCCTCACCAGGTATCACCTCTTTCTTTTAGGATAATGTCATTAGTATGCATAGGTATTTGTATGTTACATTTGCACACACATTTTTGTATGTTTGTGCACAATATCAACATTTTGAGAGCATCTCCATCTGTAGACATACAAATCCAACTTGTCAGAACAAATATTTCCAAAATTTTATGAGGGTCCCCTGATGAATAGGTTCAATACTCCCAATCTCATCCCGGGATGAAGAGACTTCTGTCTGAGAAATTCTTTATAAATGAAATCTAGATAGAGATAGATAGATTATCAATAAAATGGAATGTTAAATTGTCAAATAAATGTGATGACATTACAAAATATTACATTTTAAACATTTAATTAATTTATTAAAATAAAATAAAACCAACTTTTTAATCTCATGAATTTATTATTCTATGAATCTCAAAACATTTAGATTTTAGATGCTGTTAGTGTGTTGATAGCATTTCAGCGACTTAAAAAAAACATGCAGATCTACACTTGACGTACAGTAAAAATACTGTTTAGATCACATTGTTCAGTATTTTTCTCTGTGTAGCCAAAACAAAGTGTGCATAAGCAAGATAAAATCTCTCCTCAAAGGCTTGCCGGCTCAGTTTTCACAGGTCTTACTTTACCTGTGTGCTTTGCAAGCATAATTACAGTGACACTTTGACAGGGCCACAGCTACACAAGTGCAGTTCTAGGAAAGAGAAATCTATAACATAAAATTCGCAAACATACTGTATAGAAACAATCTGCATTGGGGAAAACGGGAACTAGAAGAAGAAATTCATTTTTAGAAGAGGCTTATAGAGACTGCCGTGTATGTGTGTAGCAGCCGAGGGGCCAAGAGTGCAGGCCGGCTAAGCTTCATATTACACCCAGGATTACACTCTGACTCTTTGATTTTCTATAAGCTCACAAAACGTAGCTACCACCCGGACCCAATTACATAGTAGACCAGCTCTGCCGAGACTCCAGGTCTCTATCAGTTCAGGAGATTAAATCCTAGAGATTCAGAAAAATAAAGTCTTGAGTATAACGAGTGGCCTTTAAATCAGTATAGAAAGAAACGAAGACTGCATTTACTTCTGTGTTTGCAGTACAGTCATCTAGATAACATGAGGCAAGCGCTGCCATCCTTCACAAAGTGATAACAAGCAAGCAAAATCTGCAGAAACTGACACAATCTCCACCTTAAAACCTCTGTGAACTTTCACCTCTGACTATCTCAGGAAGACTGCAGTACTCGACAAAGGTACAAGACAGAAACTATGCTAGATAACAACAGGAGATAAGAGATATCACTTTGTTTAAAAGACGTTTCTTTTCTCAAATAGCTACTGAAAACAGGTTAAGCTGGTGCTTTTTTGTCAAATGCTTTCTTCTTTCAGTTTTTATTCTGCTTCATGTTTTTTTTTTTCATTCTTATGGTAGAAGCACCTATATGCTTGTGGCCTCTATCACAGAGGTAGGGCCAAGAGTTTCTCAGAAAATCAAGTATTTTCCGGCAAACATGAGTGCTTTGTGGTTTTAATCAGTCATTTTGTGTTTATTTCATGGTCATAAAGAAAGCTGTCTGTAAATATGTGTTTGTGTTGTACACCTTTGCTTTCATTGAGCCCTGGCTGCTTCTGCATCTCAAAATGAAGAAAAAGCGTTTGAAGACTGCAGTGAGCAGACATTAGTCACCACTCTTGTCTTGAGTTGTTTTTCCCTCCTCTCTCTCTTTGTTGATTGTAACTAGGGCATCTATACTGCCATGTTACTGAGCGGCTCACAATTAAAATATTTTTTCTTCCCTCGTGCTGCTGTCTTTCAAAGGCTGATGCGGAGCGCACATAATTATGCATATAAACATAGTGGCTTAATTATCTCTCACAACATCAGTGACAATGTAATTAACAAACATCGCAAGATCAATGAGAGAAACTGCGACCTTCAAAACATTTAACTCCTCACATCAGGGGACTGAGCAGAATCCCTATCAGCATAAAATCACAGAATGCCTTTCCCATAACAGTCAAATGCATGCTATGCTTCCCAACCAGGCTAGGCGATAGATCATGTAAAAATATCAGTGCATAATATATTAGATATATTAAATGTTTTTTTTTTCACTCATAGTTTTTTGAAGTATATAATTAAATTTTTATAAATATTTTTATATATAAATACATACATACATACATACATACATTTATAATTTTTAGTATATTTTTCACTTCAGAATTATTTCTAATTGAATTTAATTTTACTTCTAATAATTCTAACCAAAGATGTTTGGTAAAATTCATAGTTTAGCCACATTAGCTAGCTAAATAAATTAAGCTACCTTTAGTTTTGCTTATCAACAGAAGCTAATGTCATCCACTGTTAAAATATTTGTATGTTTAATGAGTGGTTTCTTGATATCACAGCATATTTTATTGGATTTTTTCTGAAGAGAAATACAGAGGTATGTTTTGAACTCTACGTCTTTCAAAATATGAACTGTTGAGTTGAGTCTAAAACTGAACGAGTTTAAGACTTAAAAATCAGCATCAGAAATGTCCGTTTGAGAACAGTGACAGTGTTGTCAGTGGACCCTTGATAAGTCCATATATATAGATCCTTACATGTATGTCCTTATCATCACCACCACTGGAAGACAGAATCAGCCTGCTTCTGATGGCCATGTTTGGTCAGCAGAAAGGAGATATAAAGCCCATTTGTTATCACACCACGGAGGGAAAAATGTACCTTAATTGCCTCAAACGTAGACAAGGGCTTTGTCACAGGCTGGAATTTGCCAGTATGAAGTGGTGAGATTAGGAGCACTTCTTTTTGTACTCTCCAGTGACATGAGGAAGAGAGAGAGAGTGCTGGGAGTTCAGCCAGGCAAATCGTACCTTTCCCCCAAAGCCATGGCTTTCCAACCACATGCACATGACATCATTTGGAACGTGTGAGATAAGGATGAGGGGGAAAACTCATTTACATGTTGTTTTAAAAGGTTATCTCCTCTTAGGTCCTGGCATAATGTGTGCAGTTTAAGTCCAATCATTCTCCTGACACTGATAGTCTATTAAACGCATACAGAGCCGCCCACTGGCATGCTAGACTTCTCGTCCTGTCTACTGTTACCACCTGCTACTACTGTTGCCACAGCTATTATTTTCCTGTGTGTAGTACAACCGACATCTCTTCTAATACCAACAGATTGATCTCAAAATGACGGTTCACTCAAAAAAGAAAAATGTTAAATAGAAAGTTGTCCCAAAAATTGGTATTTTGTCGTCGTCTTGTCGTCACTTTCATGTTGTTCAAAACCTGTCTGGTTTTTCTTTGTCCATGGAACATAAAATAAATCGTCTGAATAACTTTGTTTGCATTCCACGAAAGAAGAAAAACTGAACAGGATTGGAACAACATGAGTTGATCATTTTGGGTGAACTATCCCTTTAACACTATAGTGGCTGTATATCATACAGATGACTTTTGACACTAATAATAATGCTAATGAGAGACCGATAACACTCAGAGACCGAGAGGGGGATTTCTGTCAGAAAATGAAGGGAGTTTCCCAACTGTTTGAAAAAAAGGTACAGATGGAATATGTCCAATTACCCAAAGCAGGAGTGTCTTTGATTGCTGCCCTTGGAAAATGTTCAGGGACAGAGATTAAAGAGCCGGTCCTGACTTTAAAGCTGTGTAAAATCACATGACCCGACAAAAGCCCTCTTAGCAGTCATGACCGATACAAAAATACAGTCACTGGATGCCAAATTTATGACTGAAGCCTTGCTCTGCCAAACTGTAGTTCTGGAGATACGTACAGTAGCACTAAATATCCTTCAGTAAGCAATAATAGCTCATTATTTTTACAGTTAGCGTTTTATTTGTGACTGATTCAGCAGTGATTAAATTGAGGCTAATTAACAATAAATGAGTGTACTTTGTCAAAATGTAGTCAAAATAGCAGTGCGCTTTGGTGTCTAATGACTTTTTAAAGCATTAGAGGCACACAGATCTCATCTGGCTATAGCTTTCAGTGCATTTTCTGACCATTTTATATGTATATTAAAATATATACAATACACTTATCTACAATAAATACATAATTTTAGTAATATTAATGTATTTTTATATATTTTATTTTTATAACTTTTTTATTTTTAATCTAATTCATTTTATTGTATTCTATGTGTCGTACTGCATATGGTTGTGTGTGTGACCAATACAATTGTAAAAAGCTATACATATATACCTTTCACACCTTGAGTCATTTTCAGTTCCTTTTTTGTACCCTATTTGGTGAGCATGACAGTAATACACCAAGGCAGCAATGAATCGAGAAAACGAGTAGATGTGGAGACCTGTAAGGACTGTCATGAAGCTCTAATCTTTACGCTTAAAATGAAATTATGTGCTCAAACACAGTAGAAGCTGCTAAAATGATGCATGGCAAAGCGTAGGGAGTTTCCTCTCAAATACCTGATACATTTCTCTTAAATTTTTCATGCCCTTTCGATCTCCCAGATCACTTTTCATACTGATGTAGCACGGCTAGGACTAGCCCCAATGCAGCAATGGAAATTTGGGGATTATTTTACATGCTGAGAAGGAGATGTGAAAAGCACGGGCAAGAGACCGATTTAGCAATAACATAGAAATATGAGACCAAAGCTGAAATATTTTAGTATTAATTACCATGGCCGTGGATAATGTTACCTCTAACCGTCTCATTTGCCCAGCAATGAAAAAGGCAATCAAATAAATGGAAAAAAGGTCTGGTGGAGGGCAGGGGTCCTGGCAGGGTGGAGAGGGAGTTTATCTGACACCTCTGAAGTTGTCATTTAGAGCCGTGTTCTTGTACCAGGGTAGCTCTCCTGACAGACAAACTGAGACAAGATGAGATTTTTTGCATTCATCTGCTGTGGTAAACACTATATCAGAGCCAAGAACTGAGTGCACCGGTGCCAGAGGGGTTTGTGTCCCTTTCTCGCTCACACACATGCACAAACAGACTCTGAAAGAGCAGTAATTTGGCCTTTATAAAGGGCTGGTTAAGCAGCAGGGGAAGCTTTCAACCCAAATTGTCTCCTTTTGACCAGCTATCTGACCTCCCTCCAGACCTATGTGAAAGTTAATGGTCCAGAATTATTTCACTATTCTGCAATTAAACTACACCTTTACCTCATTCTGTCCATTTAATTGGGCCTTGCTATTTTATTTTATTTTATTTTTGTTAGATAAAAGGAAATCTAAGTTATTTTTGTATTTCGTATAGGAGAGGCCTCCACACTACGTGATTACGCCGCCAACACCATGAATGAGTTCTTACACATGTTCGGCTATGATGACCAGCAGGGTCGAGATGAGCTGGCCAGGAAGATCAGCTTTGAAAAACTGAAAGCAGCTACCTCAGATCCCTCCTCCCTGAGCAGCGAGGAGGCCAACCGTCGAGCTCGCTTCTCCAAGTATGAAGAGTACATCCGCAAGCTAAAGGCTGGGGAGACCCTGGCCTGGCCTATGCACACCAAGCCCGAAGAGCTCAATTCCAAAATGGAGAAGAGCACTGCCCTCATCCAGCCGGCCCTCGCAGGGTCAGAGGGTCAGATATTTCAACCCGGAATGGACCACAAACAAAGCTCGCTCAACCCAGCCCCAACCAACCCGTCACACATCCAGAACCTGGCCTCCCGCGCCTCCAAGTACGATTACTTCATCCAGAAGCTGAAGATGGGTGAGAGTCTCAGACAGCAGAACGGCAATTCCTATAAGCGACCCTCCAAGTACGACTTGGAGAATGTCAAGTTCCTGCACCTCTTTAAACCCGGTGAGGGCAACCCTGACATGGGCGGCGCCATCGCTTTTAAGACCGGCAAGGTCGGCAGGCCGTCAAAGTACGATATACGAAACATCCAGAAGCTCATTCCTGGGAAGGTTGATCCTCCGATGATGCAGAGCGTTCTCCCAGCTACGGCAGGAACCCCAGGAACACCAGTCATCAATACAGCTGCTCCCGTGGGGGTCGTGGGACCTCCCGGGTTGCCTGTAGACCAGGCGGGCCACCTCGGCTTTAACACTGACCACATGAAGTCCAACTTCTCCAAGACTGACTCCATCACTACTGGAACCGTCTCCTCAGTCAAGTAAGGCAATCTCTGAAAATTGTACTGAACTGTTTTGACATTAAACTGACAGGAAATTACTGTGATTTTACCAATAACCAGTATTTCAGGTAGACTTGTGGGGGGGTCAGAAGACCTCCGTTGCCCTTAAAGTCAGATTGCAAGTTTGTAGGGCCTTGCTTGGCATGCGCTGAAGCCGAACTCAGTAAAATCTTGAGCAAACAGCATGAAATGTTTGTGAAAACATCGGACAGATTAGACTGCCCTGCGTGTGCCTGTGTGTCATCGGGCATGACTGCACAGATAGTTGAGACTTTCATTTCTAATATCTGCACTTCAAATGAAGATTCTGAATCAACTAAATGACAGGCACTCGCAACTGCAGACAAAGCACGGAGATGGATGCAGCGCACCAATATCGGCTTCTGTTTCCTTATGTCGCGCCAGTAGAAAGGTGATTATAATTTGTTTATTTATTCTAGCCTTAAAGAGAGAAAAAGGCGTGTTTCAAAAGGCAAAGTGGCTTTGGCGTTAATGATTACTCTCCCAAGCCGTAACATGAAGGCCACAAATCAAAGCCCTGGCACTAACAGACACACACACATCCTTGTGCACACACAAAAACCCTCCTTGGACTGATTACATTTTGCAAGAAGATTTAATTAAGGAATTTTTAATGAGGCTTCTGCTGGCACTGCCAAGAACTGTTTTGATATTTGCACTGCATAATGCATAAAATTTGTCTAAACATCTCGGCAGTTGATGCGCGGGGAGGCAGTAGATAAGCCCAGATACAGTTTCAATTTCCGTGTTGGGAAAAAAAGAAAAGAAAGAAAAAAGAAAAATGAGGACTCATAAAAAGGGCAAATGCAGCCTGGTGTATTGGGGGGTTGTTGAAGGATCGGGGGGCGGGGTGGGGGGGAATCATCCACGCTAATGAGAGAACAGTCGTGCTAAAAAGCAGCTTTGTAAACTTGTCTACACCCACCTTCCCCCCCACAAAAGGGGAAAAAGTTCTTTATCTCCTCGCGCTGCCGCGGTTTGATGTTTAAAGAGCTTCCCTGGTAGTGTTTAGTCACTGTTTTCCCTCCTAAATGCTTTTATGTACCCACCATTGCGCCAAACTTTGATCGGCGTGTCTCTATTGTAACGGGAGATGTGCGGCAATCTCTGTATCGTGGCGATATTAATATTTAATCTGCCGCTGAATAGCAGCGTGGCCCATTAGCCCCCTGACGCGGCAAGTGGGAATTGTCCAGAGGCAAAGTGATACAGCCGGGGTGGGCTGCCATCCCAGGGGGCTTCTGTGTACACAGGACCGGGAATGTTTGAGTGCGACGCAGAGGGGCTGTTAATGGTGGGTGAGTTTAACACATGCATCTGTGCTGGTGCGACTGTGTGATACACCATACCGTAGCCTGTGCTCTAATCTCTTTTGCAAAAGAGTTGGTTCACCCAAAAAAAATAATTCTGCTCCCATTTATTCACCTTCATGTCATTCCAAACCTTCTGTGGAACAAAAAAAAAGGAGACATTTTGAACATTATACTGGCCATTTTTATCCCATGCAGTTACTGTGAATGGGGACTGAGGCTTTTAAGCTTCATGAAAATATATTATAAAAATGGATCATATGACTATATGTTTTGAGTTTTAAATCCAAACAATTGCTTTGCATTTCAGTGTCATTCTTCATTTCTCTTTTCAGCGAGCTGATGACTTCTGTGACTGGATCAGTGAGTCATTGAGTTGAACTCAAAAACCAGATCAGTTCAGTTTGTGAAAGAATCATTAATTTTGAATCAAATTTAAGTGACTCATTAAAAACAATCCAACTCAAAAAAAGAAAAAAAAGATTAGTTCACAAACCTGATAGTACTACTTCTCTCATGAACTGTCATGAATTCAGCTTAAATTTTAATATACCTCTAATAAAACTTTCAAATGGCTTCAGAAGACTTGGAATATAATTATATAGACTACTTTTATTATACTTTTATGGAGCTCAAACTCTCCAGTCCTCATTGAGTGCAATTGCATTGAAAAAAAAAAAAAACACCAATACATTCTTCAAAATTTTTCTTTTTGTGTTCCATGAAAGGAAAAATATCAAGGGGGGTTGTAAAGGACATGTAGGTGAGTAAACAATCATTTTAGAGTGAACTGATCCTTTAAGAAGCAAACGAAACCACCCTAAGCGCCTGCCACCTCCCCAGTCCTTCAGAACACCACCCACGTTTAGCAGGTAGTGGATTCGCCATTCAATTAGCTTAATGAACTCAGCAAAGTGATTTGTAAAAGCAGTCTAGGGATAATCCAGGCAGTAGGGGAAAAAAATTACTTAGCTTTTTCTCTACTTCAGCAGATGGTGCTCTTGGCAGCGGCGGTGCGAATGTTTATTTGTGTGTTTTGAGCTGTAATTGGAGGTTTTTAACAGTCATCATCGTCAGGGTTATAATCAGCCTGTAAACACTCAGGAAATGTGCCTCTTTAAAGCGCCGACAATCCGCTGAAGACCAGGCGAGTCAGTCAGTGAGAGTGAAGAGGAGGAAGCCGCACGGAGACACACTCAAACCTTTCTATTAGGCCTAACCTTTCCCTGATTAAAGCATAGGCTGTTAACCTGGAGAGCCGAACGCTGATTTGGCAGGGCTTAAAGCACGAGCAAATGAGTGAATTATGTCGGGGGTTACAGTTTAATAAGAGTCTACCTACTGCCTTTGAAGGCAGTGGAACTAATTTGGTGGAGATTGCTGTGGCTGGAGAGTGAATTGCAATCGTATGGTCGAGGAAGCGTAGGCCTGTTTTCTCTATGTGTTTATAGTTCCTGGTAATGACTCTGAGCTCCGTGAAGATGACTCTGTCAGTGTTAGGGCATCTATCAAGCGGAGATAAAAGGCTAAATTGCCCTTTCAAGATCAGCCCCCACATTGTTAGAGGTTTCATATATGGAATAGAAATAGCGAAATGCTACTCCGTTTCAGTAAATGCTGATTTTGTTCTCATTGAAATTGATCGCTTTGTCTCACTTGCTGTTTTTCAAATCGTGTTTATCTTTGTGCTCAATGTGATAATAATGTTTGCATTCAGAATGCTCGGCCAAAACGCTAACAATGACACAAATATGGTATTTCTGTCTGATTGTAGGTTCTCTGGGAGCCAACACTGTGGCCATGTGCACTGTGCTTACCAGTACAGAGAGCATTATCACTGCATGGACCCCGAATGTAACTATCAGGTGAGTACGACAGCCGCAAGCAGGGTTCAAAATTAATGCTCACCAAGTGCTAATGCAAGTAAAATCGCCTGTAACTTTCTTAGTTCACCCACTTTTTGGTGATAAATGAGACTGCCAGCCGGTAATTTTTGCAATTAGACTGGCATAGGTCAACACGCCTAAACATTCATCCCTCACTGCTTAAAATCCAAGCACCTGGCTTCTGTAAGGATAACCTCATAATGCTGAGAGTGTCACAACACCAGTTTAAAGCTCACCTTCACTCTTTCCACATCACTTCCTGACAGGAGAGAAAGATAACTGTTAGAGGAAATGATTGAAGTGTGCCAGGGTACACACAGGGAAACAGCCAAACAAAACCTTACGGACAAGGCTTTTATCATGCCATCGTACTGGATTAACGGGTTTAGATAGATGAGGTCTATTTCTCAAAACTCAATCAGACAGAGAGTGGCCTTCCTTTTTTTTCATGGTTAATGGTAAATACTTTCAAAAGATGCCTCCTTTTTTTCCTAAGGACATCTGCTAATACTCTTGGGCCACTCATAATCCCCTTTCACATTATTAATCTGATCCATGTCTTCAGAGTTGTCATGTTCAGCACAGCAAAATCAGCATTAAGCAGATCAGAACACAGACAGCAGCGGCTCACGCGCATATGGTGGAAAAGAGCAGGCAAAGACGGGCGCATTTGTCGAAGACATCAAAAATCCTCCCGCAACGAGAGCCGCTCCGTCTTTTCTTTATCAAGTCCTCTCTAGTCATAATGTCCCACTTCATTTTTAATCATCTGATTACATTTTTCATTATAAACATCCAGGAATCCTGCTGAAGACAACAGGGCAGCTGTTGCATCTAAAAGGGACTTATTCAGCCCAGCAGGCTGCCTCTTGTTATTCAAGAACAATTCCTCAAACTGTAAGAAGAGTCGGCTGAAAAGTCCCTTTGAAGCTGTCCGTTTTTGGGACTTGGGTTGGTTAAGAATTCATTGATGCCATTGTACATGCGTGTCATTTTCTGATTAAGGTCGATATTCTGGATAAGCCTTTGTTCTTATAATTTAATTTTTTACATTTTTAAATTTCATTTAAAAAATTTCAAAAAAATGTTATAATCCACTTATTACAAACTTAGGCCATAAAGTTTGTTTTAGTGGTTGTAAAATGTTAGTAACCCAAACCTGCCTTTTAATAACCCAAAATTCTGATTGATACAGGCGCAAGCTTTACTGTAGCTAAAACAATAGAGTTTGGTACTAGCAACACCAAGGTGATGGGTTCGATTCCCAGGGAACTCATGAACTTATAATGTTGCTTTAGATAAGTGTCTGCCAAATGCATAAACAATGTAAAAAAATAATGAAAGATCTTATTCGTATTTATATAAACCCGTAACTTTGGCGTAATCTAAAGTTGTGGCAATCTGGTTACTGCATTTACATGTCACTTACACAATTAGAATATGACCGGAATGTTTCTGTGCATGTAAAGGCGTCAGTGAAACTTGGCAGTTTAGCAATGACAGACAGGAGACTGTGCACACCCTAGCAGAAAAGTGAGGCTCAGATGAACTTGTTTTTGGAATTGATAAGTCATTAAAATGTTACATGACACAGTGCTGGAATATTATCCTGCGGTTGCCAGCCTTTGCTCCACTCCATACTGGCCCTGCCTCTCCTTTCATGGCCATCCTGCAATGCGATGGGAATCCTAAAATAAATGTCCACACGACCGTGTGGTCACTCCGCTAAGTACAGAAGCCCAACTGATACAATTTCCTGCTGTTTTCCACAGTTCCGCTCAGTGTGGCCGGATCTAGATCAGTATCTCTTTTTATTTGTTTGTCGACATCCCAAATACCTGTCATCACCGTTTGTTGGACATCGGCTCATATATCATATAAATACAGTTCTCTTCTTTTGAAACAGGATTGGAAATGTAACACTATATATAGCCAAGGTTTAAGTATTTATCTTTGTGTATTTATATATCTTTATTTATTTTTTATTTGCCTGTAAGATAAGCTTCATAAATGGGCAATGAGGTTTTGTGGATGTTTCTGTCATATTTTTTTTTCTCCTGTTGCTCATTTACGAAGAAAATATGGATTTACGTTGGAAGAGGCTCATTGATTTCAGCTACTCTTGTTTCAGTTCCTGTAATATTAGCTCAAGCCCAATTACTGCAGATTTGGTTGCCCTGATCTCTCAAGAGTGAGGTTTTTTCCCCCACATCGCTTCGTTTTTTTCTCCCAGACTGCTCCGTGGTGTAGGAGATTTTAATTTCGAGGAGGGGTATTTTAGCATATTTCCTCACTGTTATTGTCTAACCCTGCACAAAACTGTGCTTTAATACTTTAATTAAAAATGGAATCATATCTCAGACGGGAATTAAAAGAGAAACATTTTTTGGTTGCCTTGTTTGTTTGTTTGTTGTCTTTTCCCCGTGCACATTCCAAAACCATCTGCATGGAACATGATTTTTCAGAAGCGGAGAATATCGCAACTGTGATCTCGCATGTCAAGTGATCCATCTTAATTAGAAATGGTGAAATAAAACATAATAAACAGTCTAGCTCAGGAACCTTTTTAAGTAGCAGATTCAAACATCAGGTGAGCCTGGAAAATGCTATAATGTCATAACTGAGTCATAATGCTATGCTTTATTGTTAAGAGAGTCTATAGTGCAAACTCCAAATTAAATACACCCTTCAAAGTATTCACTTTCAAGTTCACTACCCTGCAATGTGAGTAGGGAACAGTGAATACACCTTCTACCTGCTGCTACAACCGCTGGTGTTTTGCACCGTTCACCCACCTGGCTGCAATTTGCTGCAATGCTCTGCAGCTGTTGCATGAGTAATAAAATAACTCATTGCTGGTTTCCTTCAGAACCTACACACCACCTCCCCCACCTTACTACCTCTGTGTATCTGTTGTTTACAGAGATTCACCAGTAAGCAGGATGTGATAAGGCATTATAACATGCATAAGAAGCGGGACAACTCCCTGCAGCATGGATTCATGCGTTTCAGCCCTTTGGATGACTGCAGTGTGTACTACCACGGCTGCCATCTCAATGGCAAGAGTACCCACTACCACTGCATGCAGGTAAACCACAGCAAAAACCCCCTAGTTTGCAAAAAAAAAAAAAAAAAAGCAACATTCACCTCACATGCAAATACAACTTCCCCTACATGTACAAGATTTGAGACAAAATATTAAATTCAGTTTTCATGAATATTACGAAGCAAAAAAAAAAAAAAATGCACATTCACCCTCACATGCAAATACAACTTCCCCTACATGTACAAGATTTGAGACAAAATATTAAATTCAGTTTTCATGAATATTACGAAATAAAAGCTGTGGAAGAATACCTAAAATCTACTTTCCATGCACAATATTAGTGGCAGGCGAATGGCACAGACTCTTTTGTGTGATGCAATAATCTTTAAGGACACTGAAGTTCTTTAACTTTTTCCTTGACCATTTAAGCGCGTTTTTTTATTATTATTTATAAGACAGAAGTTGTCAGAATAAATGAAAGAAAAATTAAAAGGATGAAAAGGGTGTACACCTCCTCTCCCATCGCCCCCTTTCTTTCTCACTCCTTAACTGGCATGGATGAAATTCTATGAGTTGTTTATATGAACTCAACATTTTTCATCTTTTAGTACCAAGTGGCGAGTTAAAGATGATTTCCCACCAGGTCTGTTTAATTCTTTACATCTGCTTATTTTCAAGGTGTCACTTGCGAGTCGAGCGCTTTTTTACCCACAGGCTACAGTGGCCCGGGACTTGAGATATATTCTCTCTTTTTTTAAAGCCTCCCTAACGGCGTAATTGTTATTAGACATTTCAGCTCTTGTTTTAACAGCGGTGAGAACAGGCAGATGTTGGCAGTTGATTTACGGAGAAAAGACAGAGTGGCATTTTTTTCATTGTTTGACTGAATATGGCCAAGTTGCCCTGTTTGCACGGGTGAAAAGTGCCAGAGATGATATACAATTGCTGGTTTTAATTCAAACATTAGTTCATGTTCGTCTGCTGCCCAGAGAGCTCCTGAGTGCTGCTGTTGAGTAACAGAGCCTTTCAAACCGAACTAAGTGACAGTCTCCCTGAACAAACCCCCCTGACACTTTTCCTAAAGCAGAGACCTCTAATATAGACTTAAAACCTTAAATGGAAGAAGGTTTCAACCACAAGCCACCTCACCATGCTGCTTTTGCATGCCACATATTGCAAATCACACAAAAAAAAAATAGTCCTGTCTTTTATCTCTTTGAAGCTGTTTTCATGAAACGCACACCTGCTTTTTTGGGTAAAGGGTTTGCTTTTCATATTTTATGAGTTGTTGTCTCAAGAGTGCATTTTTAACAAAGCTCAGATCTTGAGAAAATGTTTCCTGCTCATTTTTTTTAGGTCACCTGTTTCTTTGCTCCCCACATTGAGTTCATCACCAAACTGAGCTATTTTTGTGTCACATCTCGAGTTGTTGTTTTCATGTCCCTGCACACTACAAGAGCTCAAGCACCAAGCCACTGTTTCATACCGAGCATATTTCATCCAGTGCAACAAACTGAAACTCACACATGGTGTTTATTTCCAAACCGTGCACACGCTTTGTCTCATGAAAGCACTTTTTTTTCATTTCCTGTCTGTCAGGTGGGCTGCAACAAGGTGTACACAAGCACTTCTGATGTCATGACTCATGAGAACTTCCATAAGAAAAATGCACAGCTGATCAACGATGGCTTCCAGAGGTTCCGGGCCACTGAGGATTGTGGGACGTTTGGGTGCCAGTTCTACGGGCAGAAGACCACCCACTTCCACTGCAGGTATGACTGCTCAAATTCAATTTAATGTGTGTTAATTGGCATTTAAGAGTTTAATCCTTTACCTTTCCACCTCTCAGACGCCCAGGCTGTACCTTCACCTTCAAGAACAAGTGTGACATCGAGAAGCACAAAAGCTATCACATCAAAGACGACGCTTACGCCAAGGACGGCTTTAAGAAGTTTTACAAATACGAGGAGTGCAAGTACGAAGGCTGCGTCTACAGCAAGGCCACCAACCATTTCCACTGCATACGCCAAGGCTGCGGCTTCACCTTTACCTCCACCAGCCAGATGACCTCACATAAGCGCAAGCACGAGCGCCGCCACATTCGCTCCTCGGGCGTGCTGGGCCTCACTTCCTCCTTCCTGTTGCCCAAAGAGGAGCTGGAAGAGTCCAGCAATGATGACCTCATGGACTACTCAGCCATTAGCAGCAAGAACTCCAGCTTAAGTGCTTCTCCAACAACCCAGCAGTCCTCTACCGTACAGCACATGCTGTCCACTCCCACCACCACCATGTCCTCCAGCCACAGCATCAAGCCTACCACCGCTCTGCCTCCAGCCAGCCGTATTTCAACCCTACTGTCCCAGGCTCTGCCCAGCAACGTGCCCATGGCCCTAGCACTTTCCAACAGCGCACTGGCAGGTGTTTCCAACCCCTTCTTCCCCCTCATTCCCAGAATGCCCATCTGTCCCTCTACCGCCGGTCTGATCTCTGCCGCCACCTCCAGAGGTCACTCCATGCCCAGCGATTCTCTACCCCTGACCTCCACCCCGACTGGGGACCCAGCCGCTGCTACTGTAGCATCCACACCGACTTCTTTTGCTGCATCATCCATTATGGAGAAGATGTCGGCCAGCAAGGGTCTAATATCGCCCATGATGGCCCGACTGGCAGCCGCTGCCCTGAAGCCCTCCAGTAACCCGGATGCAGGTCTGTTCATGTCATACTGTATTATTCATTTGTAAGATGAATATTGTTTAGATCAGTGATTCTCAACTGGTGGGTTGCACACAGTAATTATAACATTTATTAATTGAATTATAAATTTAAATATTAGTCATTAGTAATAAATATTATAATAATTAGATTTGATAATGATTAAAATATTAATGTTAGTTTAAATTCTGGTCAATATCGATAAACCGATAATTATTTTCATATTATGGCTGATAACCGATAAATGGCAGATTTTATGATTATAGCTGATATTATGACTAATAAGTGGCAGATATTAATATTGTATTTTATTTTTAAATAAATGACTAAAAACTAAAATCAATCATATTAAATGCTACATAGATTGTAGACAGTAAGTTTAATATTATGATACATATGATACAATTTCAGTGTAATCATTAATGTTAATATTAAAATCATTAAATTTTATAATAATTAAATTATTATTATTAATTAAATTTCTTCTCAGTACTGATAAGCCGATATGTATTTTCATATTATGGCTGATAGATCTCCAGTATTAAGATTATGCTGTTTTGTCTAAATAAATTAAAATTAAAGCACTAAAAACTAAAATCATTTTAAATTCTGTGAATTTAGGCTTTACAACATTGTAATGTACATTGTGAAAAAAAAAAGGATATTCATTTTGAAACTAATACTGATAAAAAAAAAATCTATGAATGA